TAAACAAATAATTTAGTCAAGGAACTATTCATATAACACCAATTCTGTTTATTGTATTTTAATGTGATTTTTTTTATTGTTAGCATAGTTGAGTTTGATGTTATCCATTAATGTTTTTTTAAATATGTGGAAAGTGTGGCGTGCATTTGTATTGAGCCCCCTTTACTCTGATACCCCTAACTAAAATCTAGTGGAATCAATTGCCTTCAGAAGTCATCTAATTAGTAAATAGAGTCCACCTGTGTGTTATGTAATCTCAGTATAAATACAGCTGTTCTGAGAAGTCCTCAGAGGTTTGTTAGAAAACAGCATCATGAAGGCCAAGGAACACTCCAGACAAGTCCGGGATAAAGTTGTGGATATGTTTAAAGCAGAGTTAGGTTATAAAAAAAAAATATCCCAAGCTTAGAACATCTCATGGAGCACTGTTCAATCCATCATCCAAAAATGGAAATAGTATGGGACAACTGCAGACCTACCAAGACATGGCCGTCCACCTAAACTGACAGGATGGGCATTCATCAGAGAAGCAGCCAAGAGGCCCATGGGAATTCTGGAGGAGCTGCAGAGATCACAGCTCAGGTGGGAGAATCTGTCCACAGGACAACTAATAGTCGTGCATTTCACAAATCTGGCCTTTATTGAAGAGTGGCAAGAAGAAAGCCATTGGTGAAAGAAAGCCATAAGAAGTCCTGTTTGCAGTTTGCAAGAAGCCATGTGGGGACACAGCAAACATGTGGAAGAAGGGGCTCTGGTCAGATGAGACCAAAGTTGAACTTTTTGGCCTAAAAGCAAAACGCTATGTGTGGTGGAAAACTAATACTGCACGTCACCCTGAACACACCATCCCCACTGTGAAACACGGTGGTGGCAGCATCATGTTGTGGGGATGGTTTTCGTCAGCAGGGACAGGGAAGTTGGTCAGAGTTGATGGGAAGGTGGATGGTGCTAAATACAGGGCAATCTTAGAAGAAAACCTGTTAGAGTCTACAAAAGACTTGAGACCGGGGAGGAGGTTCTTCTTCCAGCAGGACAACGACCCGAAACATCCAGCCAGAGCTACAATGGAATGGTTCAGATCAAAGCATATTCATGTGTTAGAATGTCCCAGTCACAGTCCAGACTGAAATTCAATGGAGAATCTGTGGCAAGACTTGAAAATTGCTGTTCCTAGACGCCCTCCATCCAATCTGACAAAGCTTGAGCGATTCTGCAAAGAAGAATGGGCAGAAATGTCCCTCTCTAGATGTGCAAAGAGACATCCCCAAAAAGACTTGCAGCTGGAATTGCAGCCAAAGGGGGTCCTACAAAGTATTGACTCTGGGGGCTGAATACAAATGTCACCACACTTTTCACAGATTTATTGGTCACAAATGTTGAACACCATTTCTCATTTTCCTTCCACTTCACAATTATGTGCCACTTTGTGTTGGTCCATCACATCCAATCCCAATAAATACATTGTAACATGACAACATGGGGGACATTTCAAGGGGTAGGAAGACTTTTTTAAGGCACCGTAGATACTTTTTTAAAAAAAAAAATGATTTTGGAGACTGTATGGCTTTTATTTATTGGCATAGTTTCAAACACAATCTAGCCAAAAAAAAGTCTGCGATATTGTGCTAAAAAGTTTGTCACAGACAGCAAACAGATTTCTACCTTCCTTGGAAGTCTGAATGTGATTGATGATGCAGGAAGCCGGTAGGAAGCATCGCAGATAGTAGTTAAAGTTTTCTAGGTATGTATATAACACTGACTATTCACACAATGCTTTACATACAGTATCTTCATATCAGTCCTTGACCTCAAGGAGCTTACAATCTAAGGTCCCTATCCTACATCTAAACATCAATAAATACACATACTAGGGAAAATTTAGACAGGAGACAATTAACCTACTAGCATGGCTTTAAAGTGTAGAAACAAAGCAGAGTATCTTACTAAAACCCACCCAAGCAAAGAGAAAACAGGCAAACTCCATGCAAATTGTGTCCTGACCAGAGTTTACACTGAGAAAACTCAGACTGCCAAGGGTTTTTCCTGTAGTTATTTTATTCCATTACTGCAAGCCTAGAGACCCATACGGAAGAAAAATATTTTTGAAACATATTTTAAAAATATTGTTTCCAAATATATTGACATATATTTGAAATGCTACAATTTTGGCCATATTTAATATATTTCAAAATATATTTCAATATATATATATATATATATATATATATATACTGTATATACACACTGCATGTTGAAATACTTTTTATTACAAAATATATGAAAAATATTTTAAAAATACATTTCAAATATACTGTATGTCTTTAAAAATACAAATCTACATTTTGAAATGCATTAACAAATATACGTAAAAATATATGTTGAAATGACTTTTTTGTATATTAAAAAAAATCTGAAGAATATATATATATATATATATATATATATATATATATATATAAAAAAATAAAAAATAAAAACTGATATCCTCCTGCGGAACCTATATTATAACTAGGCCTCCAGCTGCAATGCACCAGCTCAGAGACAAAACATACAATCCGCAGTGCAGAACCACCACCTTCCAGTTAAACCTCAGTTAACTGGACTGCCCCTGGGCCCACCATACCACCGATGGGTTCCAAACCATTATTTTAGCTTCAAAATAAGTACTGCCTCCAAAGACCAACAACTGCCCCCAGAACCCGAACAAAAAACTCGGGGAGTGACAAAACACCCACACAACCCCAAGGGAGGGCAGGAGGGAAGCTCGCTTTCCGCTGCCTCCTCCTGCATTGAACTGACGACCCTGCCCATCCACACCCAAAGGTGTCGAAGACCCCACCCTACACCCCCCAGTCACCAATCAGGTAACTTGCCCATATTCTAACTCCCACATTTTTCCTTTTAACCCTTTCCTGTCTTTACTAACCCCATGTCTGCCCTGCGCTGCGAAAGAACTGGTTCTTTCTCTGAAGATGTGCTTGGCACGTAACGCGTAAGGAGGAGCCTACGCACACCGTGACGTTACACCGTCGGAGCATCGTGGAGCTCCGGCGGCCACTACATCTGAGAGGACGGTTAGTCCTGTCTATCTATGCTATTTGCTATTTTTTATTGGATGCATCCTGTTCATCATAATTAATTCGTTTTAAACTTTACTTCACTATGGGCATTTCTTCTTGATCCCCTGTGGGGAGCACCTTTCTCCCAGATATCGTTTTTGCATAGTCGAGGAACTGTGCTCTTTTGGTGGAGCAGTGATCGTTTTCTACCATCAAATGGATTTCTTCTGCCCAGCTCTGTACCATCGTGAGGATCTTCTCTGACCAAGGGAATGCATCTGCCCTTTCCATGTTGATGACTACTCTATGAACTCCATGACTTCTACATTGCACTTTTAATGTGCACTTCTGGTTAGTGTGCATTTTTACCCTAGGTCACCATTGTTGGGACTTTTTTTGATCTTTTTTATCTATTGTGACACATTTTTATATATTCATTTAGCGCTGCACTTTTATTTTATTAACAATAACATATAAAGCCATTTATTACTCTTCCCCAAATTACATCACTAATCTTGTCTCCAAATATCACTCAAACCGTTCTCTCCGATCCTTGCATGACCTCCTGCTCTCCAGCTCGCTCGTCTCCAGGACGTCTCCAGAGCTTCCCCTATCCTCTGGAACTCTCTACTCCAATTTATCAGACTATCTCCTACTCTGCTCACTTTTAGGCGATCTCTGAAAACCGATCTCTTCAGGGAAGCCTATCCTGCCCTCAGCTAATAATGGAATCTTCTACTCTTCCAACCAGTCCATTCCCCACAGTTATTATCTTTTTGTACCACTAGCCCCTCCCTCTTAGATTGTAAGCTCCAAGGAGCAGGGCCTTCCTAACACTTTTGTATTGAACTGTATTGTTGCTGCATTGTCTCCCATTATATTGTAAAGCGCTGAGCAAACTGTTGGCGCCATATAAATCCTGTATAATAATAATATATAAATCCTGTATAATAATAATAATAATAATATAAATCCTGTATAATAATAATATATAAATCCTGTATAATAATAATAATATATAAATCCTGTATAATAATAATATGTAAATCCTGTATAATAATAATATATAAATCCTGTATAATAATAATAATAATAATAATATATAAATCCTGTATAATAATAATAATATTATTATACAGGATTTTATATATTATTATTATTATTATTATTATTATACAGGATTTATATATTATTATTATTATACAGGATTTATATATTATTATTATTATACAGGATTTATATATTATTATTTATTAATATATAAATCCTGTATAATAATAATAATATATAAATCCTGTATAATAATAATTGTGTATGACAGCCGCTGGGATTATGGCACATCGGCAATCATTTAGTAGAGCAGCTTGCATCTGAAGGAGGCTGTGCAGGTTGCCATAGGTTTGAGGTTGAAGGCCACATCAGATGACTCTGCGGGACACATTGGTCTTCGGGCCACAGGTTGAGCCTGCCTGTTTTACAGGGATGCTGGACTTTCTAAAAAGGAAACCCAACAATAGCTCTGCACTGAATAAATAGCTCCCACCTCATCTACCTGCAGGAGACCATATTTCTTAAACCTTTCTGAAACAAGGCGCTCACTAACGCACCTCCCACACTTAGTAAACATGAAATATTTATTTAACGTTTTTATACTTACTCGACGTAAACAACATTTTAAAAAAAGGGTTTTTTTTGTCACGCATATAATACAAAGATAAAGAAAATACCAGTAAAACAAATAAATACTACACATTCATTTGAAGCACTTGTCAGTAGGCAAATACCCAGTGACATGCTTCCTTATTAAAGTGAATTTCAAACATAAAATAAGAAAAATTATAAAAAAGTAACTTGACTATAAAATCTGAGCAATTTTGTGTCCATAATTTACAAACTACATGTTTCCAAGTCCTATTCATATGCTGTACTTGACTGTAGGTGATGGTGGTGAAGAATCAGACGGTGGTCACGGAATTTCTCCTCTTGGGTTTTGGAGACCTCCATGATCTCAAAATTCTACTTTTTGTCTTCCTTCTGATTATTTATGTCATGGCTTTAACAGGAAACTCCCTTGTCATTGTCTTGGTTATGATCAGTCAGAATCTTCGCTCTCCCATGTACTTCTTTCTGTCCCAGCTGTCCTTGTCTGAATTCCTCTTCACCAGCAATATTCTGCCCGGCATGTTGTGGCTAACACTAACAGGTGGTGGAAAAATATCCATCATCAGATGTTTTTTGCAATTTTATCTGCTAGCAGTATGCACCATCACTCAATGCCTGCTGCTAACCACAATGTCCTTTGACCGCTACGTGGCCATTTGTAAGCCATTAAATTATACCCTCATTATGACCTTTGGACTTCAACTTCAGATCATCACGTTATGTTGGTCATCAGGATTTATTTTATCAATTGTACTATTTGGTTTCCTATATAGGTTAGAATTCTGTGGTCCAGATACCATCAATCATTTCTACTGTGACATTGGTCCTGTTCTAGAACTTGCATGTTCCGATGTTTCTTCTGCTAAGCTGGTTACCTCCATGTTGTCAACTCCTCTTGTTGTCTGTCCATTTTTGCTCATCACAGCCACCTATATTTCCATCTTCTACACCATCATGAAGATCTCATCCTCCATCAGAAGACAAAAGGCCTTCTCTACATACAGTTCCCACCTCACTGTAGTTTGCCTATACTTTGGCAGCTTGGCATCTATATATATATTCTCACCAAAAATCAGTTCTTCCAATACAAAAAAGAATTTGTCTTTAATATATATCTTGGTGACTCCATTATTCAACCCTCTGATCTACAGCTTGAGGAACCAGGATATTAGAGGGGCCATTGCGAAACATATACACCTTTTCTGCACCTAGCAATGACATTAAATATAGTCCAAACCTAATTTTTTAAAGGAAATATGTACAGAGTTAGTCCAAAACTAATATCAATGTTTTTTGTAGATGTGAATCCACCCAACAGTTTCTTGTTCTTACTGGAGACTCTGCTAGTGAGAATTATTTGCTGAATTCCTGAGTTTGCTCACTTGCTGTGGACAGTAAAAGGAATTTACACTAGCTCTTACTTTGTAGATGCACTGCACAAAAAAATGAATCTCTTCACGTCGAGCATATGAAAATATGAGGTCTCTTGATGGCTGGGCCTTGACGCCGAGTGGCTGCATATTTGCGTACCATTGTAAACAAACGTGCTGAGAACGTGTGCCCTGCACTCTCCCAGCACATGTGTTGGCGTCCCATGGAAAGGTCCTGATCTCTGCTTGCAATCGGGACCTTTCCGATCATGTGACTGCCATGACAGCCAATCACAGCGGTCACATGACCATAAACCTCCCCCTGCCTCCCAGCGTCAAAAAGCCCTTAAAGGGCCGGGAGGAGAGCTGTCGTGAAATATTTAAAGGAACACTTTTTAATCAGAGTCTAGCATCAAGTCAATTAAACTCCTGGGATGTTGATCTGGTCAGGTAAGTAGCAGAGGGGATTATTCATCAGTTTCAGCTGCTTTGGTGTTAATGAAAATAACAACAGGTGCACTAGATGGGCAACAATGAGATGACCCCCAAAACAGGAATGGTTTTACAGGTGGAGGCCACTGACATTTTTTTCCTACTCATATTTTCTGACTGGTGTTCACTAGTTTTGCATTTGGCTAGGGTCAGTGTCACTGCAGATAGCACGAGTCCATACCTGGACCCTACAGAGGTTGCACAGGCAGTCCAACTCCTCCAGGATGGCACATCAATACGTGTCATTGCCAGAAGGTTTGCTGTGTCTCCCAACACAGTCTCAAGAGCATGGAGGAGATTCCAGGAGACAGGCAGTTACTGTAGGTGAGCTGAACAGGGCCGTAGAAGGTCCTTAACCCATCAGCAGGACGGGTATCTGCTCCTTTGTGCAAGGAGGAACAGGATGAGCCCTGCCAGAGCCCTACAAAATGACCTCCACCAGGCCACTGGTGTGAATGTCTCTGACCAAACTGTGACGGGAGTGACTTTTGGGGGTGGGGGGACCCCTGTATCATCTCCCCATATTCCTCTTATTTGTAAGCCACCCTGTGCCTGTTAGGGGTACAGGGTGATCTGTCCTGATATTGTGTAGACATGTATAGGTAGGGAATAGGGATTGTCCATTGTTCACTGCCAGGTGCTGCATCCCATTGTTCTATTGTGTCTTGCTTGCCAGCAAACTATTAGGGCATGTATGTGTTCCTGTATTGTCTACTGCCAGGTGGTGTATCCTATTGTTCTATTGTGTGTTTTGGTTTGGTGGGGGGTGTTTCCGGCAGCCCTTCCCCCTGATGGGACAGCCTGCTGATGTGTTTCCTGTTACTGGTTGTATTTCCCCACCCTGTGTATATATCTTGTGTTTGTGTTAAAATAAAGCAGTTCTACTTCCTGTCCTAAGAAGCCTGGAGCTGTCTTATTTCCTGTATGGTCAGCTGTGGTGTCTGTGGATAATGTTCGGACAGGGAAGCGAGAGTCTAACGGAAATACCCTAGGGCAGTCAGAGTTCGGTTCAGTTACACAAATAATCAGAAACAGACTTCATGAGGGTGGTTTGAGGGCCCAACGTCCTCTAGTGGGCCCTGTGCTCACTGCCCGGCACCATACAGCTGGATTGGAATTTGCCATTGAACCCCAGAATTGGCAGGTCCATCACTGGCGCCCTGTGCTTTTCATAGATGAGAGCAGGTTCCCCCGGAGCACATGTGACAGATGTGAAAGGGTCTGGAGAAGCCGTGGAGAACATTTTGCTGCCTGTAACATGGTTCAGCATGACCCTCAAAATTTATAGAGTTAAGGCTGCAGTGCACTAGGGTGCTGTGACGCGGCCTCTGCAGCTTATGCATATGTGTGCAAACGAAACCCCTTGGTTTTAATATGAACTGTTAGACAAGGTTAATTCAGTTTGTTGCAGGCTGGCTGGTAAGTGAGCCGGCAATTTTTGTTTGTTGTTTTTTGACATGGTATCTCAACCGACTGGACAAGCTATTTATGCTACCTCCCAGCCACCACCAGGACATCTATCCCCCAGGGGTTAGCTGGGATTAAATAAATATTCATCAGCTGATTTTGACTCTCCCAACCCACTATTTTCCAGAATCTTCCAGAAAACAGGTCAAAACAGCTAATCATGCAGCCAGTAAGAAAAAAAAAAACAGTCCAAAATAATCACATGCAGCTCAACTGATTACAAAAGAGCTATGAATTAAACTTACCTAACTTAACACTTGGTGGAGGGTGCTACATAAACATGAACAAAGTGATGGCTAAGCCTTTAGTACTGTCACCCTATAATACGGAGGTCCTGGGCTCAATTTCCTTCAGGAATGCTATTTAAATGTAGTTTCTATATCTACTCAGCATTGGTGCCACTAGAACCATGCACCCTGCATCTGTTGCTGAATGCCCTTGGTTCTGAGGCTGTGACCACCTACATTTTTTCTTTAACCCTCCCTGGCGGTATTCCCGAGTGTAGCTCGGGGTAAAGTTTCAGCACCACAAGAGGTAACCCCCCCGAGCTACACTCGGGAATATACTGCAGCATTGCTCTGGGATCCCTCCTGCACTTACCTTGTCCTGCGCTCCCACAATGTCCCCCCTGCAGTGTCCCGGGCCATCTCCTCCATCCGATGCCGGCATCCGTCTTCCGGGTTCCGTTCCCTGCAAGCGTCGGGACATACGGGGGTTGGAACTGGCGGGAAATTCAAAAATGTAAAAATGTCTCATTCACTAAATACACTAAAATCACATAGTATAACATTCCTGTATCAAACCATTTCACATACATTTTGTCCCGAGTGCTTTGTCCGGCGTCCTGCCTGCATTTTTACTGTTCTTTCTGCCTGGAAACTGAGAAACGTCCATGGTGTCCAAAAAGCGTCCCTTTAGGTCAAAATCGGTTTTAGACCGACTAGAGAACAGCGATAGTAAATCAGAACTACTTGCAGAATTGAGTGATAATGATTTGTGGGGGAAATTCGTCATCAGACACTGAAAACGATTCTGCGACTGAGCTCAGCGATGTACGAACTTGGCGCTATATTTCACATTTCAGTGTTTTTGGTTTGATTATATTATTGAATTAAATTTATTATTATTATTATATTATTTTTTATGATTATTTATTAAATTATAATTTATGATTTTGTGTTTTAAGTCTGATAATACCCGGGATGTTTACTAGACTCTTGTTCGGACAGATTTCAGTGAGTTATTCCTAAGAATTGCAGCATACAATAAAAAAACAACATATTTCCATGCAAAAAAATGTACCGCTTTGATCACAGAAATATTGACCTAATCAGACCGCTAGGGAGGTTAAATGTGGTCATTTGGCCAGCTCCCAGCTTCAGTTCCTACCCACTTGCCTGCTAACCTGTGAGATGGGGAAACAGCTCTCATTGTTTGAACACTGTTTGTGTGCAGTAAATTATTGTGTAGAGTAAATTAAATGTTCTGGAGTGACATTCTGCGGTTTGGCCACAAGATGCCACTGTTTTCCTAACACAGCCTCAGACTGCATAGATATTTCTATATTCATGAAGAGCTGGGGTTTTCACACAGAGTTGGGGGAACAGGAAGAGGAGAGACAGCAGCCATGTTTTGTGGATGGTGAATGCAGGAGCCGTGTGAGCAGAGAATCTGATGGCATCCAGGTGCGAGAGCATCCCTCAGTAACCAGAGCTGCAGCTAAGTGAAGCTGATCGAGTCCAAGACCCTGATCCTGTTCAGAGAAAGGAAAATTGCTGCCAGGAATGCTGATGAAAGCAGAGGAACAAAGCAACATACACTGCGATACTGCATGCTTGTTGGAGAGACATTTGTTCTGTTCAGAGTCACCAGCGGATGCAAAGCAGACTAGGGTCAGTAAGATCGTGCATGCACCTCATTTCAGTGTTGGAGCCTAGAGACTGAGTCCAGGCCTATAGTTAGTTAGTTAGTTAGGGTCTCTGTTTGTGTCAGGCCACAAGTGTTATTACTGATCATTGGAAGGACTCCATAACTTAAAGTGACATTTCACATTGGAGAGCTGACAAAATTCCACAAACTCCAGCCAGACTGGCGTTTTGCTCAGAAGGAATACTCAGGCATGTGCTACAGAACCAGTTATGGGAGGGGGAATACTGTAGATTTGTGTAAGATTGTAAGCTGTTGTGCTGCACCGCAGGCTAGCCCATACCATACACCCATACACTGATTCCTGCTCTTTTAGGGTAATAACGGGTAAGGTGTGGCAGCTTAGTTGTGCCCCCCAGTAGGTAAATTACTACACCTTCTACCTTCATCCATCAGGAGGCGCCGTGCTGTGCAGCACAAGGGTCTCAGCCTTTGGGCTGGGTGTATGTAAATTTATTGTATGTTTCCAGCATTTGTGATTGTGTTTATTTGCCACATCTAAGTAAAATTCTGTTGTGCCAAAAGCTGGTGTTGGGGTTGCCTTCCTCGTTCGTGACTTCACTGTATCCTGGGGAGCCCACCCCGGTACACGGCTTACAAACCACCTGTCAGACCTGTAGCACAAACCCGAGGAGGAGTTTGGAACAAATCCCTCAACTTTGTGCTACTAGTGTGACGGGTAGGCTGGTGGGTGATGACAAAAGTTGGAAGCTGATGAAGCACCCAGATTAATGCAAATGGTCACAGCCTCTGAACGTTGGGAACTCAGCAACACATACAATGCCACCAGTGAGACCTGTAGCACAAAGAAAATATCTGGTGTGTGTATTTCAGAGAGGAAGCAAGGAATATGGTGGTTTTGTTCTTGGGGGGAAATTTGTATAGGGGGATTGCACTGGGAGGAGGAGGGAATTTTAGCTTGGAGAGGGAATTTGTCTGACCCTTTGGATTAGTGTGGTACTTGTGTGAGTGGTGATTATAGTTGTGTGGGACAGGAAACAAAAAATGTGCACTTTTATTTAACCGATTTCCCACCGCCCTACAGCAGATATACTGCTACAGGGCAGCAGGGGTGCGCAAAATCATGTAATGCTCACCTAAGCCCCCTCTCGATTTGGCGATGTGCACTGGTGTCTCAGCTATCCCCGGACTCCCTCTCCTCAATGACTGAGACAGCAGTGGGAGCCTTTGGCTCCCTCTGCTGCCAATAACAACCACTGAGCGAATGAGAAGAGATAGGAGGTGGGGCCAAGACATGATTTTGCATTTCTGGGTAGGGGGGCACGCACATGCCCTATCGACGCTGCCATTTGCATCCTCGGCTGTCAATCACCGGGTCCCGGCTGGTGATTACTCTCCAGCACCCAGTGATTGCTGAGCATCTCTGACGAGGGGGGGAGCACTGTTTGTAAACAATACAGTTCTCTCCCCTGTCAGCTCTTGCACACTGCTTTGTCTCTGCATAGCACAGCCATGCAAAGCAGTGTGCTTACAGTGGAGCACACCCACAGGACACAATGCAAAATGGAACACAGCACACAGTTAACCCTTTGATCACCCCTCATGTTAACCCCTTCCTGCCCAGTGCCATTAGTACAGTGTCAGTGCTTTTTAATAGCCCTGATCACTGTATTGGTGTCACTGGGAATGTCAGTGACACCAAGTCAGTTCCTCCCAGTGCCAGAATGCCCGCCGCAGTCCTGCTATACGTTGCTGATCACAGCCATTACTAGTAAAAAAAAATCCAACAAAAAACAGTATATATACCACCATTTGTAAATGCTATAACTTTCACGTAAACCAATTAATTTACACGTAATGGATTTTTTTTTAGCAAAGACATGGAGCAGAATACATTTTGGCCTAAATTTATGATGAAATTTGATTTAAAAAAAATTTTTTACTGGACATGTTTAATAGCAAAAGTCAAAAATATTCTTTTTTTCTCAAAATTGTCGGTCTTTTTTTTGTTTATTGCGCAAAAAAATAGAAAAACTCACAGGCGATCACATACCACCAAAAGAAAGCTCTATTTGTGAGAAAAAAAGGACATAAATATAATTTGGGTGCAGCGTTGCATGACTGCGCAACTGTCAGTTAAAGTAACGCAGCGCCGTACCGCATAAAATGGCCTGGTCAGGAAGGGGGGGAAATCCTCTGGAGGGCAAGTGGTTAAATGCCTTCACCTGCAGCTGAGGATTGCTGGTATTTAATGTGCAGTGCAAGTGAGGTTCTGAGGTTGCAAGGGTTGCTGTTTAGTCCTCATGCACACGAGACATTTTAATAATGCTGGTTACGTTAGCTGTGTAAAGTCACGTTACAAACGTGGGTTTTTTTCAGCTTTTTTTGGTGCTTGTGCATTAGCGTTTAGCTGCGTTTTGCCGCATTTGCATTTTTTATGTTTTTTTTTTGGTTAAAAAAAGTCCAAAAATGCTGGTTTGCTGTGTTTTACTGCATTTTACCACGTTTTGCTGTGTTTTTCAGCATTAGAGCATTTTTACAGCTAAAAAAACTCCTCTGGAAGCCCACCAGTTCTGGGGTTTTTTCCAGCCAAAAAAACGTCCCAGCCACAAAATGTTTATTACAGTCTATGTGTGCATGGGCACATAGGATAACATGCCGGGGATGGACACGTAGGATAACATGCCGGGGATGGACACGTAGGATAACATGCCGGGGATGGACACGTAGGATAAGATGCCGGGGATGGACACGTAGGATAACATGCCGGGGATGGACACATAGGATAACATGCCGGGGATGGACACATAGGATAACATGCCGGGGATGGACACATAGGAGAACATGCCGGGGATGGACACGTAGGAGAACATGCCGGGGATGGACACGTAGGATAACACGCCGGGGATGGACACGTAGGATAACACGCCGGGGATGGACACGTAGGATAACACGCCGGGGATGGACACGTAGGATAACATGCCGGGGATGGACACGTAGGATAACATGCCGGGGATGGACACGTAGGAGAACATGCCGGGGATGGACACACTGGATAACATGCCGGGGATGGACACATAGGATAACATGCCAGGGATGGACACATAGGATAACATGCTGGGGGGTTTACTGGATGTAGAAAAAAAAGAGCCACAGTAAAAACACCCCGTGTGCAGGAGGACTGAATTGCTATTTTAGGTGTATAGTTTAATACAAGGAGTAGCAGAGCAAAATAACGCTTTAAACGAATCCATAATAATATTGTATGGGGACTGTGTTTGCTGTGAGTGGGCAAAGATATTGTGTGAGGCTCTCTGTAAAGTATAGTGCCATTCACACACACGGAGCAGCGGCTTGGCCCCATCCCCTATCTCTTCTCATTGGCTCACTGGTTGTGATTAACATCAGAGGGAGCCAATTGCTCCCACTGCTGTCTCAGCCAATAAGGAGAGGGAGTCCAGGGATAGCCGAGACACCAGTGCACATCGCCGAATCGAGAGGGGGCTTAGGGTGAGCATTAGTGGGGCTAGGGGGAACGCTGCAAACAGAAGGTTTTTTACCTTCGTGCATAGAATGCCCGAAGGTAAAAAACTTTGAGCCTTTACAACCATTTTAAACTATCCCCATATAACTAGAGGTAACCATGTCTTCTCAGCTTGGTAATGCGATTTAGTGTACATCCTGATCTATGTATGCCTTCCTGGAACAACTTTTTGAGGGCAGCTAGGAGGGAAGGGGTCAACCACGTTCCCACACTTTCTATTGAGCTCTGCCTATCTCTCCCTGTGCTAGTATAAAGGAGGAAGGGCTTTGCTCAGACTTGTTGAGCCTACTGCGTGGGAGAGAAGACAGAGCAAACTAGCATGATGTAATCTCCATCTACTACAGAGAGATTCCATCCGAAGGATTCTGCCAAGGAGCAGGAGCAGCACCACATCTTCAATATACGGGGACTTCTGGAACCTATAGTCTGACCTAAATATGCAAGCTGCTGGATTCTGCAAAAAGCATTGACCTTGCCACTAATGGACAAGGAAGCACATGGGCTCTACCTCTTGAAGGTATGCAGAAGGTATGCCCGCAGGTAAAAAACTTTGAGCCTTTACAACCATTTTAAACTATCCCCATATAACTAGAGGTAACCATGTCTTCTCAGCTTGGTAATGCGATTTAGTGTACATCCTGATCTATGTATGCCTTCCTGGAACAACTTTTTGAGGGCACCTAGGAGGGAAGGGGTCAACCACTTTCCCACACTTTCTACTGAGCTCTGCCTATCTCTCCCTGTGCTAGTACAAAGGAGGAAGGGCTTTGCTCAGACTTGTTGAGCCTACTGGGTGGGAGAGAAGACAGAGCAAACTAGCATGATGTAATCTCCATCTACTACAGAGAGATTCCATCTGAAGGATTCTGCCAAGGAGCAGGAGCAGCACCACATCTCCAATATACCGGGACTTCTGGAGCCTATAGTCTGACCTAATTATGCAAGCTGCTGGATTCTGCAAAAAAGCATTGACCTTGCCACTAATGGACAAGGAAGCACATGGACTCTACCTCTTGAAGGTATGCAGAGGCAGCACATAGCCTGAGTAGGATTAGGAATTAAGAACTATGTCACGTTGGACTCTGTACCTTCTACTCTTTATCCAGTAAAGCATTGAAACTTTTGCCTTTTGCCTGGTCTGAAGTTAATCAAAGGGGCAAGTAACCACCAACAGTTTGCACTTAGTCTACAGCTTAGGCCACTAGCACATGGGATATGATGAGCCAACACATTAAGAGTCATTTTACTGCAAGTTATACATGTGATTGCCATGAGAATGAAGGTAGTCAGCAAACAGCCTGTCGTAAACATGTACCTGTTATACAGTAGGTAGAATTGCCTCTAGCTGTGAGAGAGATGTTGATGGCACTCCCAATGCCGAATTCCATCTCCCTTAGCACCTGGAGCAGAACTGCACTGCAGAGGTCCCCATCCTGTACAGAGATATGGAAGTTCAAAAGTTAAAAGAGCCCACATTACGCGCACGGTGAGGTTCCATGCTGCTACCTGGACCAGTAGTGGGAAACGCTGGACAGGTGGCTGTGGTCAGTGTTCTGTACTGCACAGCTAATTGCAAGCTACAGTGGGAAGATGTACATTTACACAGAAAGTGGAAGACAGTTGTGCAAGTCATCTCTAGTCAGGTCGAGTATTCCCCCACAGTGGCCTCAGCCTTGTCCCAGGGCATTGATGAAACGACACTAAAGCAAAGATACCCCATGTGTAGGAGAGTGACCCTGTCTCAGGTGCCTAGTGTAGCCCGGTAGAGCCCACCCAAGGGGTAGTTTTCTTATGTGACCCAGACTTGGTGCCCAACAAGTTAATCGGGAAACATGGAGGAAGGTCTACCATCACCTGCCTTTACTGATAGCCTACACACAAGATGTGAGCAAGTTGTTTGTTTAGAAGCTCAGATCCTGGATCTAAAGAATCAACTGGCAACACTGTAGAGCAATCACAACCTGGAGAGGAGTTTGGAACTCATCAGCTGCTGGCTGGGGCCAGTATAGGTGAGGGTTTAGAAATGGTGGAGATAGGGTCAGAGGTAAGAAAATGGGTTACAGTTAAAAGACAGGAGAGGCTAGCGCTGGGTTGACATATCCCAATAAATATGGCTAGTTCATGATATTGGGGATTTCAGTTCAGGAGAAGCATTGCTGAGGCGGACTATCTTCCCTAGCACCAGTAGAGGGAAACGCTGGACAGGTGGCTGTAGTCAGTGTTCTGTATTGCCCAGCTAATTGCAAGCTACAGTGGGAAGATGTACATTTACACAGAAACTGGAAGACAGTTGTGCAAGTCATCTCTAGTCAGGTCGAGTATTCCCCCACAGTGGCCTCAGCCTTCTATCACAACTTGAACTATCTTGCTTTGCATGTAATGAGTCTATCTCATATATTAGTTTCACCTTTTAAGTTGCTGCACTGAAATAAATGAACGTTTGCACCATATTCAAATTTTTCGAGTTTCACCTGTATAAACAAACACAAATGAATTAAATATTTAATGTTTCCAATGCAGTATCAAAGGTAAGTGTCCGCCATCGATAAATTAACAAAATAAATAAATGAAACCAGAAATTCACAAAAGTACTGCCAGTAAAACAGTGAAGAAGTTTATTATCCACCAACTTCCTAAATTGCATCCATCTTCCAAGTGCGAGAGATTTTGTGCTGATGTCACAACACTGCACAATCCCGGTTCAGCGGCGGCCATCTGTGTGAGTTGCTTTTACAATAACTTTTAATGTGGAATATATTTGCACATTTTTTAATTCAGAGATTGAAAAAAACAAATACTGGTGAGGTTTATTTGTTCAATGGCACCTAGATCTGATCCCAGCATTGCTAGAGGAGTCTTGAGGCTGGAACACATATCCTTGAAGGATCCTCATCGTTACACATGCAATTGATTCTGTAGTTACTTGCAGCCAGTGCTGGGACAAGGTCATCTAGTGCCCAGAGCCAAAATGGCAAATTGTGCCCCCCCCCCCCAAGATTTATGAGCATTATGTGTCAGCAAAAATTCCCTCAAGCACTACTCTGCACGCTAACCCCTAAGTATATATTTCTTTTGTAAGACAAAATTCTCCCTTACTAAAATCCCTCCTCCGAGCACAAATCTTTGACCCCCATCCTCCCTCCCAGCTCCAATCCTATCTCTCCCCAAATCTCTCCTACTAGCACGAATCCCCAACAAATCACCCATTCTGGAACAAATCCTATACCCCTCAAAATTT